GCTTAGAAGGTAGGAGCAATAGTTGGGATGTTGAGAGAAAGAGAGAGATGCCAAGGTTGACCCTACAATTTCCAGTTCCAACAGCTTGGTAAACCAGTTGCCATTGAGTGGATCTGACTCATGGCAACCCCATGTCTGTCAGAGTAGAACTGTGCTCTGTAGTTTCCAAAGGTTTTTTTTTTTTTTTTTTTTTCAGAAGTAGATGGCCAGGGCTTTTTTCCAAGGTGCCTGTGGATGATCTCAAACTTCTAACCTTCTGTTTAGCAGTTGAGTGTATTAATCGTTTACATCACCCAGGGACTCCAGCAGCTTGGTGGATGGCAGCTTTATTAAATGACATGGGGGCTATGAGAGGGAACAGAGACTTTGCAGGGAATGGGATGCTTGGGTTTGGGGCATGTTGAACTTGGAGACACCACGCAAGTCTAGAATTTAGGGAGAGAGAGATGAAGACACAAATGGTGTTGTTTCAAGGTCGTAGGATTTCTCTGTAATTTACTCTGCTCCTCCCATTTACCCGCCCTCGGTTCACAGACAGGGCAAAGTCGGGAGCTCTACCTTCTTGAACTTCAGCATTAGACAGATGGGTTGAAATCTTGCCATGGCATTTACTAACAACTCGATCTTGTGAAGATTAACCAACCGCTCCCAGCCTGTTTTCTAACCAGAAAGATGCAGGGTATTAATATCTATCTCTAGGGGGTGTTTGTGGGGGCAGTGCTAGTTCAGTGGTAGAACTCTTGCCTTCCATGTGGAAGACCTGGGTTTGACTTCTGGTCAACGCGCCTCAAGTGAATCACCACCTCTCTGCTGGGGAGGGTTGGGTGTTGCTATGATGCTGAGCAGGTTTCAACAGAGCCTCTGGACTAAGATGGATGAGGAAGAAGGTCCCAGCAAGGTACTTTGGAATATCAGCCAGTGAAAACCCTATGGATCCCAATGGTTCGAACCACACCTGATTGTGGGGCTGATGTAGCACTGGGCAGCATTCTGTATATGGGGTCGCTGTGAGTCAGGGCCTGACTTGAAGGCAGCTTGCAGCAGCAAAGTTTGTGTGGTCACAACTGGAGACTTGGGAGGAGCTCTGTAAACAGGAACCAACATGGCACAGAGATCTAAGAAGACCATTCGAAGGACCCATGTAAGCTCAGTGTGGCTGTAACTTTCCCCAAGTTTCTCACTTGAAAAAACAGAAGATTATTTTGGGAAAAGCTCCCGGGCCTGGGTGCAGGGATTCACCAGGTTTTCATGTTGTTCACCAAGGCCCCATTCCTCACCCCAATGACTTCCGGGGGAAGGCTGCAGATTCTGAAGGGCATGGGTCCTGAGATTCAACACACATGCTCCATTTCCTGGCATTTCAGAAAGCATTTTGGAAAAACACCAAAAACCTACTGTCCACAGAATGGCCCTTAGTGATTATTGCAATTGCTCAATTACATGGTTATTCCCAAAGTACAGATTATAGGGTTACTTAGCTGAAGCCTCTATGACTAGACCAGATAAAACTAAATTAAAAAAAAAAAAAAAAAAGAAACATGCAAACATCAGACATTTTCTGAGCATATGGGAGCATTTAGTTGTAGTCAACAAGAAACAGGAAGAAGAGAAAACTATGAGGAAGTTTTTTGTTTTGTTTTGTTATGCTTCTCAAGGATATGGATAGCTGAGACCTCAGGCTCGGTTACAAGGCGCAAGGCTTATTTGAAAATGTCTGATATTAATGGAATAATAAAACTATAGGCTATTTGCAATTTATATATATGGGCCCTGTTTCAAAAGTTTGTTGTTAATCTACTTTTTAGAAATTGGAATTCAGTTTTTCAGAGATGGTAGCATACAGGTCTCCAGGTCAGCCTGGGAAAATGCAATCAATCTTATTTCAGCAAATGACATCACCATCCACCCAGATGCTCAAACCAGAAACCTAGACACTATTTTGGAAACCTTCTCCTCCCACACCTGTGCCAGCCACTCTAATATCAAGTTTGGCCAGCCCACCTCCAGACTGGCAGGCACTGTTGGTTCAGTGGTAATGCTTGGACTTCCATGTAGGAGACCCAGGTTCGATTTCCCACCAGTGCACCTCAAGTGTGGCCACACCTGTCTGTCAGCGAAGGCTTGTGTGTTGCTGAGTCAATTTCAGCGGAGATTTCAGCAACGATCATGGGGCTGGTACAGCACCCGCAGCATCGTATTCCATCCCGCGCGAGGCACCATGGGTCTGGGCTGGCTCCAGGGCAGCTAACAGCAACCTTCAAACCACCTCGGACCCATCGACTTCTTGCCCTCTCCACTACTTTCACCTTGGTCCAAGCCATCATCAGCTCTTGCCTGGACCGTGGCATGAGTGGGTTCCAACCAGCCAGAGCCCTTAGTTGGGCATTTTAGGATTGATTCTTAGAAAAATTATGAGGACAGATTTTCACTCAACATAAATAGATTCTGCTGATTTTCCTTATTCACGGTAGTTAAGTGCTATAAAGTCACCATGAGCACCGAATTAGCAAAACCACAACAGCCAGATCCACCACAGCCGAAAACGGGTGTGTAGAGCCCAGGCGGTCCACCTTTTGCGCATGCGTAAATCTGCAAATGCCTGGACATGCACAGTGAATATTGGTTTGGGGATTATAAATTTAGGGAATAGGCAAATTTACAAATACGGGGGTCCACGACTCTATAGTTTGACTTTCAAAGTAAGTGAGTGTCCCACCATGGTAGATAATATTTAATTCTCTCCAATCATGTTGCTACTTCCCGTTCCTGCTGGCAGAGCTAGCCTCCCAGTCGGTATACCCCCACTACTTGCCTTCCAGCTTCTCTTGTAGTCAGGGCATGGGCCCATTACTCCATCTGGGACAGTGAGAATTGCTGGGAAATCAGCTCTCTTGGGAGAGATTTTCCTTCTGGATGTGTGTGCGTGTGTGTGTGTGTGTGACATGAGGAGAAACATCAGCCTTTCCGTGTTTGATGTGCTCATACGAGGATGTGGTATTTGTTGCTGTGGCAACCATACTGTGACCACAGGGGCAAAGCCTTTGGTTACCATCCAACATTCCGAGGATAGTAATGCAGAAAGATGGAAAGAGCAGGGTTCTCAATGCATTGAACTGTAACCATTCCCTACCTATCTTCAGACTTCTGAGAAAAGTGTTCTTTTTGAGGAGTTAGTTCATTAGGTATTGTAGTTCCTAACGGTTTCATCCTCCCCAAAATGTCCCCAGAAAGACATATTGATGACATTCCTCAAGTTATCTACGTGTTAAGTCAGGCTTGCGACTGTGTCAGCATTCCGGAACCCCTGGGCTCTCATCACTTTAAAGCAAAGCCTTACAGCAAGGGGCCAGAATATAATTGGTAACTATTATTTCGTGTCATTGTATTTTGTAGCTCTAACTAGTGGGGGGAATAAGGGCGTTTTCATGTGGCTTGCTGGCTTCGCTTTCTCATGGTGGTTGTCATCCCTTCTCAAGCCCAGTTCTTTGGAGGACAAGGATAAATCCTGGAGGTTCACGTCACTGGAGCACGAAGCCCCTGTCCTCCGCACGTGGGAGGGCAAGTCTTGGGGAAACGTCATTCTTCTCATTTCCTATTTGACAGAGAATAATGGCAGTGACATGGAATGTGGGGATTGAAAGCACTAACTCAGCACCCTAGCTTCAAATCTTGGCTCTGCCACTACTAATCTTGGGCAAGTTACTTACCATGCCTTTGCTTTCATTTCCTCCTCTATAAAATGGTAGAGGCACGAGGATTAAGTATTTGTAAAGCCTGTACACTATATTTGGCAGCTAGCTTAAGAAACCAGTTGTCTTTGAGTTGATTCCAACCCATGGCGACCCCATGGCTGCCAGAGTAGGACTGTGCTCCATAAAATTTTCAATGGCTGATTTTTCTAAAATTAGATCTCCAGGCCTTTCTCTAAGGTACTTCTGGGTAGACTTGAACCTTTAAACTTCCAGTTAGCAGCCAAGTACATTAACCGTTTGCACCAGCCAGGAATTCTAAGAGCTCAGTCCCTGGTGTTATTACTTCTAATATACAGGTGATCTGCTCTTCCCAAGGGGCATTGTGGGTCAAGAGGGTGTTCCTATCTGGAGACTTTGTTCTTCAGCAGGTCCTTTGAGGTTGCTTCTAGCTGAAAGCAATTCAAACCTGGATAACCATCGTCATTTCATGGGTTGGTCGATTTATGGAGTAACTCTGCACACTAGTGTTCCATCAGTTTTGTGCTTTTAGCATGATTTGGGTAGGTGGGTCAGTTTCCTTAGCAGGTTAGAAGCTCCTTGAGGATAGGAGTTAGGTTTTCCATACCTAATTCTTCACAGGGCACTGTGCTGAGCACATGCATGTGCTTAAGAAATTTTGGCCAGTGAACGGCTGGATGGACAGCAGCCACCTGAGGAATGGGGGCTAATTTCTAGAAAGTTCACACAGATCAGTGGCTCTCAACCTTGGCTATACATTGAAACTACCCATGGACATGGTGACCAACCAATCTGTTTGCTCAGATTCCAGGGATATGGGACTTTCAGTTTTTAAAGTCAAGACTGAGGGGTTTCCCAGGATGTGGGACTTCTCAGTGCTCAAAGCAGGAAAGCCCCAGAAAAACCAGGACAAATTGGTAATCTTGACTGTGGTGCTTTAAAATATGCTGTTGCTTGGGACTCGCTCCCAGAGCTTCTGATTTAACTGGTCTATGGTGAAGCCTAAGGAGCTCTGGTGGTGCAGAGCCTAAGGCATGTGACTGCTAACCAGAAGGTTGGCGGTTCAAACCCACCAGCTGCTCTATGGAAAGAAGATGGAGTGACCTACTTCCGTAAAGATTTACCACTTTGGAAACCCAATGGAGGTCGCTATGGATCAAAATCGACTTGATGGCAATGGGTTTGGTTTTCTGTGGTGAGGCCTGGGCATTAACACATTTTATTTCTTTCCAGGTGGTTCTGCTATTTAGAAAAGTTGAGAAATAGTGATGAGGAACAAAAGTTCCAAACCTGGGTTCTGGTGCACACTGCTAGGCTGTGAATAGGTTACAGGGGGCCTGAGTTATTCCTTCACCCCTAGCCCTGTGAGCTACCTTTTAAGTTGACCCCATCCCCTATAGGTGCCTTTCAAAAGTGGTCATTTTCTGTGTGTGCCATAAAGTGAACAGATTGGGAAGCAAGGACTAAGTAATGTTGCTTAATGGTGGTGAATAGAGAACTTGTTAAAAAGGAAATTTCAGGGCCCTATCCTAGACCTTCAGGGAACTCTGGTGGTGCAGTGGGTAAGGCATTCCACTGCTAACCAAATGGTTGGTAGTTTGAACTCATCAGCTGCTCTGTGGGAGAAAGATGAAGCAGTCTGCTTCCATAAAGATTTATAGCCTTGGAAACCCAGTGGGGCAGTTCTAATCTGTCTTATAGAGTTGCTATGGTTCAGAATTGACTTGATACCAGTGGGTTTGTTTTGTTTTTGGGATCCTAGACTCTCTGTAGGAGCTCTGGTAGCATAGTGCTTAAGGCACTTGACTGCTAACCAGAAGGCTGGCGGTTCAAACCCACCAGCCACTCCTCGGAGGAAGATGGGGCAATCGACTTCCGTAGTGATACTGCCTCGGAAACCCAAGGAGGGGTCGCTATGAGTCGGGTCCAACTCAACGGCACATAACAACAACAACAACAACAACAGACTCTCTGTATTGGATTACTACACACTTAGGGATCTACAGTTTAACCAGACTTCCCAAATGATTCATAGTTCCACACCTTTGCCTGAGTTGACTTGGGTCCAGAACATAGCAGGTGAGGTGGAAAGATGGGGGCCAGAACTGTCTTCCTTCATCACAACCACCCCCCCCATACACTGACCTCTCCTTTCCCTTGAAATAACCTTGTGCCTGAATACCACATTTACAAACATCTGCCTTCATACCTTTCCCTAAATCTCTGGCCACCACCCTGTTGGTAGATCTATTTTGTCTTGTATTGTAGATGGATTACTGCTCTCAATTCTTTACTCCCTCCTGCCATGTAAGCATGCAATGAAGAAGAGTGGAAGGGGTACATTTCTCTGCAGAGCAATGAGTGAGAATAGGTGCTTGGGAGTGCAAGCCACTGAGTGTTTGGGTAGTTACAAAGCACTTTCATGGCCAGAACTAATACATTTCCCAAAAAGAGAAAGAACTGGGGCTCATCAGTGGTCTTACTAAAAGACTCTGAAACCCTTTGCAAAAGAAAGGTTGGCTCACCGTCATGGCAAGGGTCTGGAAGGGGGAGAAGATCTGTCCAAACTGATAATGCTTGTGAGCATCTACGTCTCCAAAGCGGCTGCGGCGCTCCTTCCGGCTTGCCAATCTCTTTTCCACCTTCTTGTCCACATATTGCCGGAAAGGGCCCTGCTGGGGTAGAGAGCACATAGGTGCCCACAGTGAGGAACCCAGATAGCATGCGGTTACCAAGTACCCCAGGCTCAAACAAAGACAAGGTGTAGCTGTTACAGCCAACAACTCTGCTGCAAGCCTCTCATTTGTTAATCAGCCTTCCATTTATCTTTGTTAATTTTCTGTTGCCTTGAGAGTCTCACGGTTTGTCATACTGGGTTGCTATGATGCTAGGAGCTTTGCCACCAGTATTACAAATATGAGCAGGGTCATATAGTGGAGAGGTTTCAGCAAAACTTCCAGAAGAAGGCAGACTAGGAAGAAAAGCCAAGTGATCTTTTTGAAAATGAAAACTTTATGGATTGCAACAGAACACTGTTCTCCTTACTTGCTTTGGACACATCGTCAGGAGGACTCAGTCGCTGGAGGAGGCCATGATGTTTGGTTACGTGGAGGGCCAGCGAGGGTGCGAGAGATCCTCACTCAGTAAGATGGATTGGCACAACAGTTACAGTGATGGACTCGAACATGCTGGTGATGGGGAGGACGATCCAGGCTCGGGCAGCATTTCTTCTGTTGTACATAAGGTCACCTTATGTTGGAACTGACTTGACAAGAGCTGTCTACCTATCTCTGAGAGACAGAGAAAAGGGCTACCTCCTCCCTTTGTTGCTGGGTGTCGGGCACAGTCATCAGGGCAGCAAGATCTGGCTGTTAACAGTGTCTCTTCCCCTGAACCTAGCTTCATCACCCACCTCTGTGGTGGATTATTGATTAAGACCTTTTCCCGGCCTTGAAATGGCATGACATATGTGAAAATGACTTGCCAAGACTGTGATGGGTTGCAGGCCATTCTTCCCAGAGTCAGGAGGCAGGATCTTACGCGTGAAGGAGGTCCCATCCTGCAATTTGAATCTCACTTCTTTTAGAAATGGGGCAGCACTAGCATCCCACCTGGAGAGACACCAATGTAAGTCGCTCTCTCTGGGGTTTTCCTAGCCAGAGGGTTACTGTCGACAGCACCCTCCCACCCATGCACAGGGATGAGAGCTTACTGTGGAAAGCAGCCCCTGCTGGGGCTACCTCTGCCAGGCCCTGCCTCTCAATTCCTGCCCTGACCCTTGTTCTCAACTGGCTTTCCCAGTTCCTGGCTATCTCGCCCTCACCTTGTTTCTCCTTTTGGGCCTGGCCCCTTGGGACTGATGACATGGTCCCAAATTCTGCCTGCACAAGAGCTGGTACCTCTTCTTACCGTGGCCGTGCATGGCCAGTGGGAGATGGAGCCCACCCTAGATTCTTGAGGATGGGATGCAGCCCAGGCACACTTGGCTCCTGAGAGGAGGGTCAGCAAATGCTGCCTCCATCGACTTCCTGATTCTCTTCCATTCCGCAGAGGCAGGGGCATGGCTGGCAACATCGTGGTGGATGAGTCCCAGCCGCTGATGACTGTGTCTCTTTTCTGGCTGTGACACCTGGGAGGGTGGGAGTGTGGGAGTGTGCTGAGGAGTGGGCGTTTGGACACACCACAAGAACCTCATCCTAATTAGGGGGTTAGGCCATTTCCTGCCTCCCACACAGCAGGAAACAATGATGTATGCTTTTTATTTCTTTTAGCACTGACCATGAGGTTGTCAGATGGGCCCTAAGGGAGCAGCTCTGGATGCAGGCTGGAGAAGGAGGGGCTGATGATATTCAGAGGCCACTCAGGAAGTTAGAGAGCGAGCACTCCCCTTCTGAGATGAAGAGCCTGGGACCCGGCACGGTGGGAGAACTTCCCTGAGGTCTCTTTGCCATCTCTTGCATCAAGTTCAAAACAAGCTCACGTATACAATTTCAGGTGTGGTGGTTCTGCTCCAAGGAAGATTTCCAGAGTTCGCCTTGAAGAGTGACACCTTGATGCCAGTGGGCCTCAGGCTGGGGCACAGGTGACTTTGACTAGAGCCGTATGTGCTCTCATGAGGGAAGAGAGCGCTTCCATCCCTGGCCTCTTCTAGCTCTGTGCTGTCCTCTGATTTGTCTTATAGCCTTTCTTTAGGAGAGTCACTACACCATCATCCTCATCTCATTTTTAATAATGAAGCCAAATTTTCTTTCTTAAAAATTGATTTCCCATTTGCCTTCCCACCCTTGTTCAGCTTGTGTCTGTCTGTGTATCCATTCATAGATTATTGTTATTACTGTTAGTGCAGGATTGTGAATGTAATAGCGTTTACCTCTGTTGCCTTTAACTCCTGGGCTCCTCCCACTTCTTCCTTTGCCTTGATCATACTGTGTTGACCTCCCCATTATTGTGTATTGCTTTTCCCTTCACCCAAGTTAACATGTGTCTGCCTTCTAGTTATGTGTCTACACTCTCTTCCTATTCCACCCCTGATAATCTTCAAAGAATGTTTCTTCCTATGTGTAAACTTTTTTTTTTTTTTTTAACTTTTTACAATAGTGGTCTCATACAATATTTGTCCTTTTGTGATGGACTAATTTCACTCATAACAATTCTGACTCATAACGACACTGGGGGCATAGTGCCTAAGTCATTTGACTGCTAACCAGAAGGCTGGTGGTTCAAGCCCACCAGCTGCTCCTTGGAAGGAAGACTGGGCATCTACTTCTGTAGAGATACCACCTTGGAAACTCAAGGAGGGGTCGCTGTGAGTCAGAAATGACTTGATGGCAGTGAGTTTGTTTTTGTTTGTTTATCCACAGCCATCGAGTTAATTCTGACTCATAGCGACCACATAGGACAGAACAGAATTGCTCCATGGGGTTTCCAAGGTAGTAAATCCTTAAGCAAAATGCCACATCTTCCTCCTGCGGAGCGGCTGGTGGGTTTGAACTGCCAACCTTCTGGTTAGTAGCCGAATACTTTAACACTCCTTATTTTATGCTCCAGAGGGGGACCGGGTCTCTGGGAGCAAGGTAAGCACAGGCGTATCACAGAGTAGCAGGCCGGAAGAGCAGGAGAAAGGGGTAAAACCCAGTCACTAGTGCTCAGACGGCTCCCTTGTTACCCTCCCGAGAGGGACC